ACATCTTCTTTTCTAATAGGCACAGCAGCTTGGATCCTAAACTCACAATGTTGCATGCATTTATGTATGTGTTTTCAATCACAAAACACTCCTCATGGTGAAAGGAAGGTGGTTGTCCAGTCAAATCCATTCCCACCCCATCCCCCACCAACCTGCAAAATCATTCTCTTTTCTTTCTGTAGTTTTTTGAGCTGCCGTATGTCTGTTTTCTGCGGTAATTTAGGAGTATAGTGAAAATAAAACTGTTAACATTTTTGTCCTATCTTCCAAACCAGGAGACTCCAGTAATTTAGAGCTTCTTCTATGAATGGAAGAAGTATTCACCTTTATTTTTGATTTCCTGGAACTATCAGAAGTTGTTCTACATTGAATCAGTAAATTTGATCCATATAATTCAGTTTCCTGGATGCCTCTAGTTAAGCTGTATGCATCTATCCTATGCATCTTTTATGTGTATATATTTTATGTGTATATATTGTATCTTTACTGTGGAAATTATATATCCTGCTGGGCTGCTGGCAATGGTTTTGCAATAGTTTGCTCTTTCCTGAGCAGGCAAATACATTTGAATGGAGCATGACAGGTACATAGCCCTTGGTTCTATAGTATAGGATTCAGCCATCTCTTCTATAGTGCTCAATATGTACATGAAATCACTGGAAGAATCAGTTTGCTGATGATATCCAGTAGCACATCTCCATGGCTTGCTCATCAAAAGGTGCAGTGGAAATTTTGGGTGGGGAGGGCTATAAGACTCTGTTTTGAGAGGAATAAGTTAAGATTTAAGCTTGACAAGAGGGAATAGCTGTTGATTTGGAAGATAAATGATTCCAGGACATTTCCATTTTTGGCTCAGGATGGACTGCACTTTTCCCAAAGGAGAAGGTCTGCAATGTTGGGGTTTTCTTGGATCCATGGCTCCTACTAGAAGAGCATGTGAAAGCCGTGGCTTAACTTTTGCCCAGATTTGGCTGGTGTGCCAATGGCTACTTTTTTTAGAGTGAGAGACATTAACAACACTCACTCATGCCCTTATCTTTTTACAGTGCAACTACATGATCAGAAAATTAGAAAATCAGAAGCTACAGTTGGTACAAAACGCAGCTGCCCACCAGATAACATTAGAGTCCTGCAAGACCTGTGTCGCTGAACTGCATTGGCTGTGGGCTAGCTTCTAAGCAGAGTTCAGATATGTTGCTTGGGACCTATATATAATATATGATTTGGGATGTGTCTGTGTTTGAGACCATCTATTTCAAACAAGATTTGCTGCCCAATGCTGTCTAGCACAGAAGACATATTGTGTGTCTCCAATCATCAGGAAATAAATTGGGTGGAGACTTGGAATCGAGCATTCTCTGTTTATTGTTCGCTATCTCCACAATAGCTTACGCTCACAGCAATGATAGTTCTTTCCCTGTTAAACCACTATTTATCCATAAATGGTTTGGGCACTGAAAAAGAGGGGTGTGTTAATTATGACTTTATTTATTTTTTTTGTAATGAGAAAAGGGCACTATTGTTTTTATTTTGGATGTTGGGCTTTGTATGGATTTTGATTATGCACTTATGCACTTACTTGTATAACAACTGTGTTTTGTTATGTTTCGTGATGTTGTAAGCTTCTTAGAAATACCGAGGAGACATACAAGTCTTGTATCCATCATGCCAGACTTCTCTAAAACCATTACTGGACCTAAGAGGCTCACATGCAAAAATTCAAGAATAAAGCTGTTGTTAAGATAGTTTTAGTTCTGACATTAGAAAAGTTGCTACTGGGAAGAAAACAAGCAGTTGCAATCTGTAACACTCAAGATATAAATAGAACAGATCCAAAATCTGAAATGTATATCTCTTTCTTCTATCCGTGCCTCATGCGCTAGCTCGGGGGTCTTCAAACTTGGCTCTTTTTTGACTTGTGGACTTCAACTCCCAGAATTCCTCAGCCAGGCATGCTGGCTGAGGAATTCTGGGAGTTGACGTTCACAAGTCATAAAAGGGCCAAGTTTGAAGACCCCTGGGCTAGAATCACTCAGCAGGAAAAGCAGCTGACACCTATATGTTGTTATTTTAATGGATCCCTGTTCTCATCCTTCTCACTTCTGCTGCCCTTGCTAGATCTACTTTCTGAAGAAAAGAGTATTGGAGTGAACTGAATTGTGGCCTGCTAGTGTTCCTCTGCAAATATTCAAAAGGAGAATGTGTTTCTTTTGAGTATTTCATACAAATATTAGAGTGCTCAATTGGAATGTACATAGAATTTACATTATTAGTTTACCCAAGATTTGTTTTATTGCAAAGTGATTCATTGTCAAAGCAATAAACACTTTAATTAGAACAGTCCACCAAAACGTATTGCTCACAAGAAGTGTAGTCATAAGCCGACTAAATGTCAACTAGCAGAGTAATTGGCCAGCATTGAAAAGAAAGTCTGTTTTGTTATAGTGATGTCTCAAAACTATTTTGGCTAGCTCAAATAATAATATTTCATATTTTCCATAAGTTATTTGTTTTCCAGACTTAATTTTGAAAGTTTATAATTAAATAAATAAAAATGTGGACCACTCTTAACACAGTGTCACAGCCAATGGTTATCAACATAAATAGTGAAAGAGGGATTCAAGGCTACTGTTTTAAAAACAATCATGTAATTAAAAATAAGCAGTGAAACAAAAATGTTTTTATAATATCATTCCTTCTCTAATTATTATGTCCAAAATCATGGCTATAATAGTGACATCTTGCAAACACTTTATGTTCCGTGTATATAAATAGCATTTGTTTACGTCTCAGAACTTATTTCTGACTCTCAAATTAAACAGTTTTCCAGGAATCCCAATCATACATAGAGTTATCTAAAGTAACTACATGGGATGTGTATTTATCTGGGGGGATGGGAAAAGGAAATGCATTATGGTGCCTGTTTAGCACCCTGTTTAATCTATGCTTGGTATATTTATAATTAAAAAATGCAGGCAGATCAACCTATACCACCTGGCATCATATTGCAAATGCCCTCCAGGAAAGCTCTGTCTCCAGCCTATTCCAGAAGGTAGGGAGACCATTCCAGAGTGTTGGCACTGCCACAGAAAAACAGTTGCTCCACTTGACATCCTGGAATTCAACTGCTTATTCTGACATGATTACAGTAGTTGGACTGGTTCTAGTGGGAAGAGGTGACCCTGTATGTAACTTGGAGCCAGGCCATAAATATATATATGAATAGCATTTGAATCTGAGATTTTGCACAGGAAAGAAGACTTGTTTGCTGCAACCATTTTCTCAGGATGTAGAAAGAACCTAAATAATGGCAGATCTAATGATGAAAAAAAAAATCCACCATTCATCCCATTTTTTTTTGTAGCAAACCAACTTTCCCTTGCTATTCCCTGTTTAATCATTCTTGGGAAAGTAGAGAAGCAGCTAATGGACCATTTTGTTGCATATTCTTTTTTCTGAACAAAATTAAGTTGCTTTTTCATGATATGAAGCTGCATAGAGTAATTACATTTGTTCACAAAGTAATTATTGTGATTTCTGCTATATTGAATTATCAGAGCAGAATTAAATTTTACATGGAATAAAGACATTCAACACATTTAGAATATTTTTTCCCACTACCATTAGATAGCCTTAGATATTCACAGAATTCAGTACATGATAAATTAATATGAAAAATTTCTAACTTCTGTTTATACATATGTTACATCTGAAAAATTTCTTGTTCTGAAATCAGAAAAGAAATACTTTCCATTCTAAGTCATATTGTAAACTTTCTTAGAGTTGAAGTCACACAAGACCTGGGTGGGTACTCAGACTTTAGGTTACATTTTACAATATATTATGCTAGGCTTGGAGCATCCATAGAGAAAAGCTGTATAAAACTTCTTCATGAAGACAAACGCTAACAAAATGCAAGACAAAAAAGAATAGATTGGTAGTATAGTAACATGCCACTTCTTACATCCCTAACCATTATTTTCAGAACTGTTTCTCCATGGTCATGATTGAATAAAGGCATGTTATGAGAAAGCAGGGGTTTAAATTAGTTATATTGGATAAAATACTGATACTGCACAATTTTAATCAGCACAATTACCCCTCCCTTAAAGAAACTTAACAAACTGAGATACTGAGGCATCAGATGAGGTAAATATGTTATTGTGTATTGTATCACTAATCCAAAATTATCCCAGACTGGTCCTAGTTTTTTTTTCTGTCTGAGTAAACAGCAAAATAATACAGATGCTAATTGGTCTGACTGCTGAATTGTACCTCAGCAGTAACACAAAAGGCTAAGTTGTGGAGCATAGAACAAGGCTTATGGAACAGTTTCTGACACACTCGCAAAAGGGAGTATGCAGCACTCTTCCTAAAGGTAGGAAAATGAAAATAACATTTTAATGTTATTTTTATGATTTATGATGAATGTATTTTTACGATGACTATGATCAGGAGTTATCACTTATTGCTTTTATGTATACTGAGAGCTTATGCACCGGAGACAAATTCCTTGTGTGTCCAATCACATTTGGCCAATAAAGAATTGTATTCTATTCTATTCATCTTTGGTAGGAAAATTTCAGCCTCCTTTTAGGGTTACTACAAAGAGATTCATTCTACCTAAACTTTGAACAATCCAATATCAAATATTATCTGGGAAGAAAGGCTCCAAGTTCAATCCATAGGGTACCAAGAGTAAATTTCACTGACTCCCCGGGGAAATTGAGTTTGGTTTACTACCTGCTTAATAATGTTTCCCATCAGTATCTTGAATATAAGCTTTTTAGTCAGAACTGAACAAACGATGACTCCACTGCAATTCTGGCTCATTTAATTAATTGAGATCCGATTATCTCAGGCCCGCCCGAATTGCCCGTCCCCTCAAAAGGAGCCGAAGATTCATACGATAGCCACCCATCCTTCTTAGACCGAGATGGGCTCCCCAGCTGCCCAGATTTCCCATCCACTCTCCTCGACGGCCAAGTTTACTTACCCACCTGGCACTGAAGGAGAGATGAAGCGTGTCCCCGGATGACGCAGAAGGTTTCCAGAAGCTCGGCAGTGTTGAGAAGAAGAACAGGCGAAGAGGTTTGCAGGCGCCAAGTCAAGGGCGAGGTACCCGTCAGTCCTGCTTCAGTCGGGCTCTTAGGAGCGGAGGGAGACCGAGAATCCCGTGGCCCTGAGCGAGGCATCCCCCCCCCCCCAGTCTCCAAGGCTCGGTTGATGGGTCTGGAAGCTTCTCTTTAGCTGCCAGGCAGGGCTCACCTCCGTCCGCCCAGAGGTGCGCTAGCTAGTAGCCGGGCTGCTCGCCTGGCAACTCAGCCGCTTCCAGAGAGGAAAAGTTTTCTTCGAAAGTGCAGGAGTTTCTCTCGGAGTCTCACCTCGGAGGCTGAGCCGGCATCGAGATGGCCCCAAATGCCTCCAATGAAACGACCCTTGGCTTTGCTTCAGGAGGGAGAGCTGTTGAGTTTTCAACCACGCGCTGCTTTTCCGAAGTGAGAAAGTGGCGCGGTTGGGCACTGAGGGCAGCGGCTCCCGAAGTGCCTGCGCACTCCAAGGAGGAGCAGTTCTTCCACCTCTGACCACCTTCGGCGTCGATTAATCCCGTCTTTCTTTCCCGGCCACCCCAACGCCCACGCTTCAGCTAAATGAGCTCACCGTCCCTTTCCTAACCAATTCCCCTCTCTTTTCGAAAGAACTGATCTCAGCCCTCATGGAAATAAAATGTATTCTGCGATTGCCTCATCCTCTCACCGCGCTGAAGTATTTTTCATTCCCCTCTCCAACATTTTCTAAAAGGCCAGACAATCCACACACTGGCGACCTGATTTAATTCCCCCAGAAGGTGGCCCACATCTGATGGAGACTGATGAGTCTGAGGATGTGCGTGTGACTGTGTGCTTGTGTTTACCTTCTTGAGGAAAAGAAGCAAAAGCGTTACTCTTTGATCAATTTTAGAGAGAGAGAAGGGGAGGGGGGAAGAGAATCCTAGAAGCTAGATTTTGAAAACAACTTTTCCCTCATTGCTCTTGATGAAAGCTTTCCCCAGGTTCAGTATTATTGGGGAAACTTAGGCACATTACTTATTGAAAATTAACAAAAAGCTCAGCCAAAACTGCTTCTGAATCATTCTTATGAAATGATGCTAAAGAAAAAAAAATACAACTGCACAGGTCTTCAGCTATAGTGTCAACATACATTGTCTTCAGTTATAGTATTTTAAATATAATATGTTCTCTTCTGTGAAAGCATTGGCAATAGGTGCAAGGTAATATTAATTGTTTCAATGTGTCTTTGAACACAGCTCTTTCCCTTTCAAATGAATATCCCTTCAACATTTGACAATTTTCACACAAAGTTATAATAAATGCTTCTTGTATCTTTTGCCTTTATTTATGGCCATATGTTTATTTACAATATACACTGTATTATGATAGGCAAGTAATATAAAAGTTTCAAAGAAAATTTGGCTGCTGCCCTGCTATATTTTAGGTTTAAGGATTAGCTAAAGAAGAACTAATAGAAGCTCTTATAGAAGTAATTGGCTCAGTTTGGTTAAACTTTTGCCTAACATTTATGTAAATCAATTCTTAAATTAATTGTATCATAAGGAAGGGCTTCTCAAATGTTGTGATGTCATGATCTCCTAATGTAATAAATCAATTGGTATGACATTCCCATATATAATGACATTGGTCACAAGAATATCTACAGTATATAGCCATCAGTAGCTACACTTTTTGCAATGGATAATTTTGGATACAACTTGATAAGTGAGAAGGCTTTTGAAAAGAACATATATTTCATATATTTAGCAAAGCTTTTGGTTTTTATCTCATCTCTTCTTTGAATGAAAATATCCCTATATTTCTTACTAAGTCAATATGATTTTGGTTCCAAATAATTTGTTAGTTTTCTTAGTTTCATATTCTAAATAGACAGATCTTGTTTTGACAAATAACACACTGAGATAATTTTTCTCCAGTAACAAAATGTTAGTAAAACCAAACATGTGTAACATTCATCATTATTTACAGTAGAAGATTTAAGCTTACTATTATTAGCAGCATTGGTCATCTTCAGCTATTCATTTACCAACCTTAATTACCATTAATATGGATTGTTTCACTTCTACATACACCCCATGCATTACGGAGGTAAAACATAAACAGAAAGATATACATCAAAAGAAAAAGATGAAAAAGAAATATGGGGCCTGGGTGCCTCATTATAAAATCTCATTATAAAATCTTTTTGCTAGTCAGCTAACTAAGGTATGTAGGAAGCAAATCACAATAGTAATGAGGGGCTTTAACTACCCTGACATCAACTGGGAGACAAACTCTGCACTAAGTGGAAGATCAAACAGATTCCTGACAAACTTAGCAGACAACTTTGTCTCCCAAAAAGTAGAGAAGGGAACTAGGGAATTAGCCATTTTGGATCTAATTCTCACTAACAGAGATAAAATGATAGAAGGTGTTGTAGCCACAGGAACCTTGGGAGGTAGTGATCATGCAATATTGGAATTCAACATTATGGAAGCATAAGCAATAGAACATAGTCAAACTAGAGTCTTGGACTTCAAGAGAGCTAATTTCAATAAACTTAGAAAGGGCTTGGGAAGGATTCCATGGATGATAATCCTCCAGGGGAAAACAATTCAAGAAGCTTGGGAAATTCTGAAAAACAAGATAATAGAAGCCCAGTCTAGCACAATACCAGCAAAGAGGAAAAATAACAGCTCTCAGAAGAAACCAGCATGGCTGCATAAAGAACTCTCTGATAAATTGAAAAATAAAAAGGATAAGTATAGAAAGTAGAAAGAGGGGCACATAACTAAATCAGAATATCAACAAATATCCCGAGCCTGCAAAGATGAAGTGAGGAATGCTAAGGCCCATAATGAACTAATGCTTGTGACCAAAGTCAAAAATAACAAAAAAAGCTTCTTTCAACATGTAAAAAACAAGAAAAAAGTGAAGGAAATGATTGGTCCATTGGTGGGTGAAAGTGGCAAGAAGGTGACAAGCAACAGGGAGAAAGCAGAACTATTTAACTTATTTTTTTGCATCTGTCTTTACACAAAGGGAAAAAACAGCCCAACCTATCAAAAATAGTGCCATAAAAAACAGAATAGAAACACAAGTTAAGATAGGCAAGAAAATGGTAAGTGAGTACCTGTCCAGGTTAGACGAGTTCAAATCACCAGAACCAGATGGATTACACCCCAAGGTTCTGAAGGAACTGGCAGATGTGATCTCAGAACCACTGAACCATATTTTTCAAAGATCCTGGAGCACTAGGGAACTACCAGAGGACTGGAAAAGAGCTGATGTAGTTCCCATCTTCACAAAAGGAAAAAAAATGGATCCAGGAAATTACAGACCTATCAGCCTGACCTCAATACCTGAGAAGATTCTGTAAAAGATAATCGAACAATGAATCAGCGAACACCTAGAGGTGAACAAAATCACTACTAAAAGCCAGCATGGGTTTGTCAAAAACAGATCATGCCAGACAAACCTTACTGCATTCTTTGACCAAGTGACAAAATTAGTGGATCAGAGGAATGCTGTGGATATAATCTACTTGGACTTCAGTAAGGCATTTGATAAAGTAGATCACAACCTACTACTCATTAAGATAGAAAAAAGTGTGTTAGTCAGCATCACCACCAGATGGATTCGTAGCTGGCTGACCGGCCATACTCAGCGTGTGGTCCTCAATGGAACTGCATCTACATGGAGGAAAGTGTGTAGTGGGGTGCCCCAGGGCTCTGTTCTAGGCCCAGTGCTCTTCAACATCTTCATCAACGATTTGACGGGATAGATGGGGAACTCATCAAATTTGCAGAGGACACCAAGCTGGCAGGAATAGCCAACACTCCAGAAGACAGGCTTAAGATATAGGATGACCTGGACAGACTTGAACACTGGGCGCTATCTAACAAAATGAAATTCAATGGTGAAAAAAAGTATGGTTCTACATTTAGGCAAGAAAAACCAAATGTACAGGTATAGTATAGGGGGTACCTTGCTCAATAGCAGTAACGGTGAGAGGGATCTCGGAGTCCTAGTGGACAATCACTTAAATATGAGCCAGCAATGTGCTGCAGCTGCCAAAAAAAGATAACTCAGTGCTGGGCTGCATTAACAGAGGGATAGAATCAAGATCACGTGATGTATTAATACCACTTTACAATGCCTTGGTAAGGCCACACTTGGAATATTGCATCCAGTTTTGGTCACCACGATGTAAAAAAGATGCTGAGACTCTAGAAAGAGTACAGAGAAGAGCAACAAAGATGATTAGGAGACTGGAAGCTAAAACATATGAGGAACGGTTGCTGGAATTGGATATGTCTAGTTTAACGAAGAGAAGGACGAGGGGGGACATGATAGCCATGTTCCAATATCTCAGGTGCTGCCACAAAGAAGAGGGAGTCAAGCTATTCTCCAAAGCGCCTGAAGGCAGGACAAGAAGCAACGGATGGAAACTAATCAAGGAGAGAAGCAACCTAGAACTAAGGAGAAACTTCCTGACAGTTAGAGCAATTAACCAATGGAACAACCTGCCTCCAGAAGTGGTGAATGCTCCAACACTGGAAGTTTTTAAGAAGAGACTGGACAGCCATCTGTCCGAAATGGTGTAGGGTTTCCTGCCTGAGCAAGGGGTTGGACTCGATGACCTCCAAGGTGCCTTTCAACATTATTATTATTATTATTATTATTATTATTATTATTATTATTATTATTATTATTATTATTATTATTACTATTACTATTACTATTATTATTATCGATCATCGCACAGTCAGCCAGATGTTCAGACTGGATTTGGCATTTTGTCTACCTATCGAGTCCTTACCCAGGACCTGGGATAGGCAGATGTGGATGTTTGATGGTATTACAGATATCGTCGCAGGATGGAAGCAGTTCCTAATAAGGCTGCCTTTTGCAATTGACTAATAGCGAATTTGTCAATGCCAATGGTGTTCAAGTGGTGCTCCAGTTGTTTTGGGATTGCACCCAAGGAGCCTATGACTATTGGTACTACCCTTGCTTGCTTTTGCCACAGTCTTTCTATTTCTATTTGTAGGTCTTTGTATTTTGTTATCTTCTCCAGTTCTTTCTCTTCTATTCTGCTATCTCCAGGCACTGCCACGTCCACTATCCAGACTTTTTTGTCTTTCTTATCGACAATTGTTAAGTCTGGGGTGTTATGTTGCAGGTGCTTGTCTGTTTGAATTCTGAAGTCCCAGAGCAGTTTAATTTTATCATTTTCTATGACTTTCTCTATTTTATGATCCCACCAGTTTTTGCTTACAGGCAAATGATATTTTTTGCAGATCTTCCAATGCACCATTGTTGCTACTTTGTCATGCCGCTGCTTGTAATCAGTTTGTGCAATCTTCTTGCAACAGCTTACCAAGTGGTCCACTGTTTCTTCAGCTTCTTTGCATAGGCGGCACTTACTGTCTGTTGCTGTCTTCTCAATTTTGACTTTGTATGCATTTGTCCTTAAGGCTTGGTCTTGTGCAGCCAGAATTAGTCCCTCGGTCTCTTTCTTCAATTTTCCTGCTCTTAGCCATTGCCAGGTTTTATTATTATCTGCTTTCCCAGCTATTTTTTTCATGTATTGGCCATGTAGTGCTTTGTCTTCCCATGCCTCTATTCTGTTCTTCATTTGGTCTTTCTTGTAGGCCAGTTTGGTCTCTCCAGTAGTTAGTAAGCCTTCCTGATATACTAATTTCAGTGCAT